GTCGATTTATATTCCAAAAAAAGTGGATTTGTTTTTTATTTTAACAAAAATATTTTACAGATTTTTAAATAAAAATTTTTTTTTTAATAATAATCCTTTTCGAAGGGTTAAAGTTGAAATTTTTAGAAATAATTCAATTTCAAAAGATATTGTTAATTTTCAATTTTTGGAAAACATTTTTTAAATTTAATTGAATTTTCAAAGATTTAAAATTTATATTTTTGAAATTAATTGAAACTTTAAGTGATTTTTAATTAAAATTTTAGATGATTTCACTAAAAATTTATTAGAAAATGCGGACAAAATACAATAATTTGAAAAATGGTTTCAGATAGTTGAATTTTCAAAGAATATTATTAAAATAGTTAAAAATAATTGAATTTCCTTAGAGTTATAATTTAAATTATTAAATTTAAAAAAAAAATTTTCGATGGAAAATTTTAGAAATAATTAAATTTTAGGGCGCACTCACACCTTTTGGCATGACAACTCCTGCAGGCTGGCAGGCAGCCAAAAGGTGTGAGTGCGCCTTTAGATGCTTTTAAATTCAAATTATTGAAAATTCAATTAATTTTGAATTCAAATTTTTGAGAATAATTAAATTTTATTTCATTTTAAATTTGGAAAATAATTAAATTTCAGTTCATTTTGAATTGAAAATTTTGGGAAATAATTGAATTTGAATTGAAATTTTGGATAATAATTTAATTTAAATTCTTTTTTGATTGAAAATTTGGATAATTAATTTTGAATAGAAATTTTAGAAAATAACTGAATTTTATTTCATTTTAAATTGAAAACTTGGTAAATAATTAAATTTTAAATTGAAAATTTCGGATAATTATTGAATTTTAATTGATTTTGAATTAAAATTTCGGGTAATAATTGAATTTTAGTTTATTTTGAATTGAAATTTTTTAAAAATAATTCAATTTTATTGTGATATTTTTTTTAAAATTATAAACAATTGTTAAATTTCATAAAAATTTTAATTAAAAAATAATTTTGATATAATTGAATTTGTGATGTATTTAATTAAAATTATTAAAAATAATTAATTTAGTGAAGAATCATTTTAGTTCAAAATTTATTAAATAATTGAATTGAAGAAGATCTAAAGAAGATATAAATTTTATACTAAAAAATGTATTTTATTTACATTTTTTTTCAAATATAAAAAAAAATGTCGAATTTTATTAAAATAAGTGGGTAAAAGTCGTATTTTTGAAAAAAGTCGGAAAAAGTCGTATAATCCGAGGCCTGTAAAACATATAATTTTCATTATTATCATTTAATATGTAATAATATTCTAATAAATTAAATTATTATTAATAATATTAATCTTTAATTTCCTTACAACAAATAATTAAATACTCAATTTGGCGCGCGTTTAATTTTGCTAGTTTAATAATAAAATACTTCACTTTTTTGCTCATAATTTTGATATAATTTTTATTTCTGCAATATAGACTAGAAAAAGTTTTGATAAATAATTGTTTTTAATTATTCTATATTTCTTTTCCTAAATATAATTATAGAATATTTGTTATAAGTTTGCTTCTATAATTAAATTAAATGATTTTATGATAAAAATTGTTCTTTGAAAGGTAATAAAATATTTTATTATTTCTTAATAAATAATTATTTTTATTTTTAAATATTTAACAATGTATTATTAAGCTTCTCACAAATGCAGAAAAATCTGTCTCTTTAGTATATAAAGAAGTATTGTAGTTAGGATGTGTTAGGAATAATTTTAAGCCAATGAAAGCGTACCAGTTATGTGTGTGTATTAAGAAAGACCCCCACTACCCTCGAATAGAAAAGGAGAGAAAACCTGAGAAAAGAGCCATTGGTGGTTCCGACGTTCTTCTTTTTTTCACGGCTCCTGCTTTTTCGTATAGTTTTAGCAAATTACGAAATGTTAGTTCTTGTTTTTCGTATAAATTTAGTAAATAACAAAGTGCTAGACTGTTTACTTCCTATACTGTTTTTTCCTATAGTTTTTTCAATATTCGAAAATTGAAGATTTGAATTAAGAAATAATAATTTCAGTTTTCGTAAAATGTTTTCAGTTAAAGGTATTCGTAAAACTATACCAACTTTTATTATCAAACCAGAATGTTTCGCAATTGAAAAACAAAAAAATCAAAATTTCTATTCAGATTTATTAAATATTCTAACAAGATTTCTTTCCGTGCATGCGTAAAACAATTGCGCAGCCATTAAAATTTTTGATTATAAACTATAAGGGAAAACTCAAGATCATGTACATGAACTTACGCACGATCTTACACAAGTACACAAGCATGGACTCGAGAATTTGATTTCTTTAGTTACCATGAATATACATATTATGCATGTTCTTGTTCAAGATCGTTGTTCCAATTGTTTTTACATGTTCACTTGCTGCTCTTGTACATGACCTGGTGAATGAATATGTGCAAGATCGGTGCACGATCGTGTACACGATCCTGTACAAGTTTTTTTAACTGGGGCGGTTTTTAAGGCCGCGGATTACCAATCTTTTTTAGTCACCTTAAGTTTTTGAATCTATACATAACTAATACGTATATTTTATTAGATATTTGCGATAATATAAAATAAATAATTATATTATGTTTGTTTATACTCCGGCTTACGTCCATCTTGAATTTTCCCCCACCAAACATGAACTACTTAGTTCTCAGGGTGCAGTATACTTTCGAGAAATATGACGTTACAAAGTAAACAATTTCAGAACAGAAAATTTTGGTTATAGATCTGTCAGTTAAAATCTGACATTCGCTCTTCACAGAAATGTTTAGTTCAGCCTATTGTTTGTAACCATCCAACGAGCCCTATATGAACTATTTTGAATTAGAGGATTTTTTTATAAACAATTGCAATATTAGCCAATTGTTTATTAACAATCCACTAATCCAAAGTACTTCATATAGGGCTCGTTGGATGCGGAATTGCGTCAACTGTTAATTGGTAACGTCAGTTTACGATAATTTTATTTGTTTATAAAATATATCAATTTTTATTAACCTTTACAATTAATTAAGTAACTAAAAATTGTGATTACTATAATATAAGGAGATGAAAACATTTTTGACCTATACGTTTTCGAAAGGTTTTTTTCGGCTCTTTCGAATGATGAAAAAATATTCAGAATTATACCACTTTTTTTGAAAATTAAAAATTTTTTTGACTTCTTCAAAATTGGTCTGTTTTTTCTTTTTCAAATTTTTTTTAGAAAGTTGTCCTTCTTCTTTCGAGATATTAATTAATTAATTAATTAATGTTAATAATTCAGAATTGTAATAACTTTATTTATTTGTTAAATATTTCCTTTTTAATAAACATTAATGAATTTATTAATAAATATCTCGAAAACAAATAAAAGACATTTTCTTAAATTTGTTTATTAAAATCTTATTATTTAAAAGTTATAACTTGTCAAAAAATTCAACCCCCTCCCCCTTCTACAGTTTTTGATAAAACCTAACAATACTTTGTGTTTAAAATACTCACCCATAGGGCTAAACAATGTGCAAAATAACAGCTTGATCCGACCAACTTCTTTTAACTTAGTACGCTGCAGGAATTTTACCCCATATACATCAGCTGATATTCAATGACGTTAGCCTTAGTAACTGTATTCTTTTTAACTCAATTTGATTTAATTAGAAGTAGATTTCACTTGTGGATAAATGAAAATAAGTTTACACTTAAAAAATGAAAATTTCACTTTTGTATAAGTGCATTTGAATTATTGATGTGTGAAATATATTTACATATATGAGAAAAGTGATTTTTAATTGTGATTTTAATGCAATTTAAAATATAATAAAACCCTCATAACACAGGATATTTAAAGATATCCCTGGGATATCATATGGATATCAATTTGCTTGTTTGGACATCCCTAGGATGTCCTAGGATATCCTAGGGATGTCCAAACTGTCGCAAGCAAATGGATATCCTGAGTAGGATTGTTACGCTTTCTGGAAACCTGGAAAAGTCAGAACCTGGAATTATATTTGATATGGAAAAAGTATAAAACACCTGGAAAAAAAATTCAATCATAAAATTCATCAAAATTCATTTTGGGTCATGTGATTGTTGTTAATTCACATAAAAATATTCTCCGCAGGTTCTTTCGCAAAAAACTTGATAGATTGAGTTAAAATTTTGTGGAGAACTCAAAAAGTATTTATTATAATAATAAACTTTAGTGTATTTTAATGAATTTTGTATATTTAATAACTATTTTTATATAAACCATACTTTTATGGAGTATGGAAAATTATCATATTAAGTCTTGGAAAAATCATGCAATTTTCCGAAAAAATGATGAATCAAATAATTTTTTTTAACTTTTTGATTTTTTCTTACAGCTCAGGCAAAATCGCCATTTTTATCAAATTTTAGACATTTTACATGACTCTCTACAAACGTAATTTTATCAGTGTTATTAAATTTAGTTTCTTCAAAAATTATGAACAAACTAAATTGTTATTATTAAATAATTTTTTAAGAACATTAAATTAATTAAGATTGCAAAAGATGTTTCTATGAGTAACATAAGCTATAGTTAAAAATAATGTTAAAAAATCCTTGTTTAATGAGATTTTTACTGTATCATCACTTTTTTTGAAATGTGTAGATCTGCCAAAATTGTTTGAAATTAATTTATCTAATATTTTTGTTTGCGTTGAAAATCATTTTTCAGTTTAAGGTTATGTTATGGTCACCATCTTATTCATTGCGGGAGTTCTCATGAATAAAATATCGTTTCCTTGAGGCGAGAACTATAGAGTAATGAAGTCAAGAGCAAACTCACATCCACTCTTCTTCCTGAACATAGGGAAATGTTTACAGTAGAGTTAGAGACCCAAGGACCTTTCCATAGCACACATAACAAGCAATAAGAAAGGAGAAAGAATCAGTTAATGGTGGTGTCGTTGGAGGTGGTGGTTGCAGGAACGGAGGAAGGTAATTCTGCCAATGGAGAGGGTCGAGTGCATCCTACCATTGAGGTAAATTCCTGGGGTAGGGGTCTACCTGTAAGGCCCCTCACAGTAAGGGCCCGCAGGCCATCCAGTTCGGTTCTTCATCGCCTACTTTTAGAAATTAGTTGCATTTCACCTCGTGTTTGGGCAAGCGAGGTCTTGTATTACAGAACTTATAAACAGTGTTGGACAAACTTTATTTCAATTAAAAATCAATGTTTAAGTGTCCGGTTGTTAATTGAAGTTTCTCTTTCCTAATTTCATTTCAAAGTATATTATTTATTTATTCAGGAACATTTTCCTCCTTTTAAATTATTTTTTGGGATCGAAAGTGCAAATCTGCGGAAATGACCCTAACAGGAAACATCTGAAGAAAGTGCGGTTGAATCACTGAAGAGATGGTTTTTTGAAACATCAGTGGTGCAGTTAAATGTCAGTTTCCGTATATTATTGCGAGTTTCAAAAAGTTGAATCAAGTGAATTAACCGAAAATTATAAATACTTAGGAGTAGTGAAGTTACGGAAAGTACTTATGTGTCATTTGTGTTTAGTTAACCTGCTATAATTCAAATCAGCCGCTGTCTATTATGGATTCTAGAATAATTATGGATGAATCTATTGAAGACTGTCACGTGGACTAACGAATTGCACGTCCAATATCTAATTTATCTCTCTCTTTCCTTTATGTTTTTTATTTGTTCTTATAACCACGTGGAACTGTGATCGACTGAGATTTTAAGTGTTTCGTACAGTGAATCGATTTTTACGTGAAAAATTTGAAGAAGACAACGATTCCACTCTGGATACCACGTTGCTCATATGTAAGTTACCCGTATTAATTTTTATTTTGCAAATGTATTCGATTACTTCTGCTTCCCACAAAAAATTTTGTCAGTGTTGCTGCAATCACAGGTACTATGAGAGTTGGTTTAATGTCTTCTTTCGTACTACATAAGCCATTCTCTACTTTTTAAATTTTGTTGAAGCAGTGTCAGTAAAGTTTGATTTTAATTTTGTATTAATGTGTTTTTATTTAATTTTTTTAGAATATACAATTACTTCAAGTGTAAATAATCAGACTTAAATTTTTTTAAAAAGCAAATTTATCAATTTTTTTTGACCTACTTATGAAACTTATTTATTATTAACTTATTCACTCGTTACAAATTTGTCTACCTTATTACAAAATACAAAGTATTTATTTCACCCATCAATGAGCAGTGTAAGAAATGTCAATGGTTTTTGCTGTGAGAAATATACAATGCATATAAAGAGATTATTTCGCTTACCTGGATAGGCGACCCTTTCGTTTAATTTTTATAAGACGAAATCAGTAAACTATCAAATGTTTCTTAAAACAAAATTAATACGATATAATTTATAAAAATATTTATCGCTATATATTTGCCGGTTTAACTTATAAAACATCTTTTATTCGTAAAAAGATAAAATAATTACTTCAATATATTCACAACATTATAGTCAATAAGTTTCTATTGTATAAAAAATATATTTTTCTTTAAATGTTGAAAATTAATCTTACGACTCAAAATATCAGGTATCCTGAATATCAACCTGAACAATGTAGACATATATACATGGGCTTGAACTTCAATCTCCATTCCAAGAACGTCTTAAAAACGTTTTTTAGACATTTTTATAATGAACCTGTGGTTTGTCAGTCTTTTGTTTTTATACATAACCAAAACTTTTCCTTTTGCCACTTTAAGAATTTTAGTTCTTTCAAATACAACAACAATATTAAATATGACAACTGATATTAAAATTACAATTAAAAACTAATTAGCTATATTCTTTTATTGTACATTTCAAGTATAATTGCATAATCGACTTTTAAGTAATATTTGAAAACCTTAATATTATCCTTAGTCCTTTATACTAATTGAGTCCTTAACATGATAAATACCTAATTAGTTGTATCTTGGCGCCAATCATGCAGTGCATTATTAGAAAAATTAATTAATATCTGTTTTATAGTAATTATTTTCTTTTATTTGCATTTTTCGTCATAGATTCGAAAAAAAGTTCATTTTTAATTAAATTCCATTTTAAACTACTACTTTACCCATTTGAATTTGAAAACTTTATGCGTTGATTATTTCGCCTTAGAATCAGCCATGCGAAGTTTTGACAAAGTTATAATATACAAGTTTATTTACAAAGTGTTAGTCAGAATATAATGAAATACTTGCTCCATAATTAATTGTAATGATCTATTGTAAAGTAGACATAACCTCCAAATAGATCAATTTATAAAGTTTGAAAACCTTAAAAATTTTATATTTAACCAAGGTAAAATTTTTATATACTTAACGTTTACATTATTTTAGAAAAATGTGTATAACTTTCGTATAGATATAGAAAAGTGTGCAGCAGCACAAAGCTTAATTATAATTTTACTTTTAAATACCAGTATACTGCGACAATCAGTAAGTATACCACGACGAAAGTCAGCGTTGTACTGCAGTCAATGTGTAAAATCTCAAATTTGTTAATTTGTATCATGACTGCACTAAGGTCATAATGCGTTGTTACAAAAAAATATTAATATTACGTACCATTTTTCGGTAGCGACACCACTGACGTTTACGCTCGACAAAAATGACTAGCGTTAGAACGTTATTATTTATTATTATGATTTTTTGCAAACACTGGAATTAAACTATATTATTAACCCAATTTTTTTTCTTAAAATATGGTCATTTAATTTCACAACAAAATTTTTCTCAATATTAAAAACGTAAAATTTATTGTATTTCATACATTGATAAGTTCAGGTTTCGTCGTGAGGACATAAACGACACCTCTGACATTCTGACAGTAATTTTTCTGTCAAATGTTTTCAAAGTGCTCCTGTCAGTTAAAAATTCGAATTTAAACAAGTTAAGTGATGACAAAAATTAATTGACTAAAGAAAATTTTATATATTAAGTATTACTTCAGTTTTATTGGCAGGACAGAAAAATGCCATTTTAAATTTAATCTCCCATATATATATATGATGAAATTATAAAATTAATATGATAAAATTTAAATTAATTGATTCGCATTTTAAAAATGGTGCACTTATTTAAAAATAATAATGAATCTTTTTATTATTAATAAAATAAGTTAACTATTTTATTTCTCACAATTTGAGAAACTAATTTTTGCCCTGATTGGCACTTAATTATAATTTGGTTCAATTTGAGAAGATTTCCACAAGGCTTATTTCTTTAATCTTAATAATTGACTAATGATATTTGCTGAAGGGAAAACTGATAAAGTTAAGAATTAAGTTTGTTTGTATTATTTTGGAAAAAAAATTAATTAGTTTTATTATTAACACAAATCATATAAGCTCGTGAGGTAAACGGGACAAGAAAAACGAAAGGACTTTAAGAAGAAGGGAAAGCATTAAATTCAAAGGATTCTTCAGAATTGTTTCGGAGGTAAAGAAGTATAAGGAAGAGTTAAGAAGTAAAAGAGAAGGGGAATAAAGAAACAATGGTAGGGGAAGAGCAGTCATCGTGACTCGACAGTAGGTCAGTGTACCACATTAACCGGTGTAAACCTGGAGGCTTCCGACTCTTCAGTTCCGCATGTGTATACATATGTCTATATATAGGGTGTCCTAAAATGTTTCATTAAAATAACACTGTAATAACTTTAATAATATTATAGGTTAAATGGATTTGTTTTTTTCTTACAATGTACAGAACACTATACATATTTATTTGTGTACAAATTTTTTTGTTATATTTTTTTAACGCATGTCAATAATTCAATTTATTTGTAAATGTTTTAATATTCTTTATTTTTCATAAGATACTCTAAAAAATTAATCAAGTCTTAGTCTATTAGGCTCCATTGTTCTCTGTGGTTCCCTCGGTTCCATTGTCGACGCTTGTCCTAATAGCCTCAATTTCCCTTAATAAGAATTTAAATTTAAAAAATAAAAAAATATTTAATTAATAATATTTGTAAAACTATTAAATTGAACAATTTTTAAAGAAAGAAAAAATATATTTCTTTCAAAAATTTAAAAATGTGCCCGATTGGGTGAAAAGTGAAAAATAATATTTAATTTTGTGAAAAGAAAGATAAATTTTTTTTTGAAATTTTGTTAGTATTAAAAATTTCATAAAAAATGCTTTAAAATTCATTATATAAAAATTATAATTTGTTATACGGATTTGAAAATGACTGTGTCACTTAAAACTTCACATCTTTAACTCCCATTACTTTTTATAATTTTTTAAAATTATTTTAGGGATTTGTTACTCTTATTTATGGCAACAATAATTTACAAAAGTTACAAGTAAATCCAATTTTTGAATGAGGTAGTTCAGGAATAATTCTCTATATATCAATTGAGGCTCTAGATTCCAACAATAAGAATAAAATGTTAAAATTTCATATTGAAAAATTTCAAAATTTTAACTCCACGGATCAAAACCTATTATACAAATTCGAGCGTATCCTTTTTTAAGATCCGAAGCCTCAATTGAGATAGATTTTAGGACAAGAGGTTCTACACAAAATTGAATTCTCTGAACTGATTTTGTCAAGCTTTCCTTTTTGATAGCGGACTATATTTTCTATGAGGATTATTGAGCTACTCACCAGTTTCTATAAAACGTAGTTCAGTTACTGTTAAACTGATCAGATATTTATTAAGGACTTGTACCAGATTCTCTTGTTAAGTAAAATTAGCCTTCAACTCTAAAAACTGGTAAATTTTCTAATTTGGTCCTACATCGGAGCTTTTCCCTTTTTATATCTAGAATGTTCACTCAGAGAAATGGTATATTTGTCTCCGAGCCTACTAACTCATTTATTTGTTGCAAATATATTTTATTTCATTGAAATAAAAAATTTATTTGAGCCAAAGAAAAATTTATTTCTGACAAATAAAATTTTTATTTACGCCAAATAAATATGTTAGTAGGCTCTGAGACAAATATACGTTTATTTAACTCAAATATATTTTATTTGGTTCAAATAAATCATTTCTCTGGGTGTTTTTAACATACTAATCAACCAGAAAAGAAAACTTTTTTACCTCTTTCTATTTAACTTTTATTAAGTCAAATATTTTAATACACCCTGTATACAAAACCACCAGGAATAGAAGGTGCTATCTTAATTGCACTTGTAAGCTATGTGACCAACGTGGTGAAAGATTAAAGTATATATATATATATATATATATATATATATATTTATTAAAATTTCATCTTAAAAGTTTGTGATATTACATTACAAGTATTAACTAAATTTTTTTATTACTTATTTACTACATTTTTTGCCTATAGAGGATTTTTAACATAAATAAAATATTTTATTATTTTGAAATTAAATGTCGGATATGTCATAATTTAAAAATTGGAATAAAAAATTCTTTTTGTTCTAAAATAGGTGATCATCTACATCTTAATTTTTCTTGTATTCTTTAGTGCAGGTAGTATATAACGGTAAAACTCGTAGAATTTGATGCTCACCTTCGGAATCTTGCGGTACTGCTTAGCATTTAATTTCTCTATCCTCTTCTTTCTTTCTAACCTTTACCTTAATAGCTGTTGCACTTTCTCCATTCGGAAAATAGTGTCAGACTTGTTTGTGGTCTGCCATCACTTTTTGATGTACATGTTAAAGGAAATACTACTACGAAATTGTAGATTTTAAATAAATTAACAATGTTCATCATTGTAAAGATGCTTTCTACATAATGAATTAAAATATTGTAAAAGTATGTAAAATTTAATTATTTATAATTAAGTGGATCTGATTAAATATATTTAAAAATATTTGTAAATAT